TGTCACCGAGCAGGCAGCATGGGTGGGAGGAAAATCAAACAGTTGGGTGTTTATGCCTCACTGCATTGTCGCTGTCTAGTAAACTGGGAAAAGAGGTATCGGTATTACCAGTTCAATTTTCCAGATGAAGAAACTAAATTTGCAGTCCCAGAATTGGTGATGGCTGAACTGGGCCAGAACTCTGCTCCTGCATCAGCTGCCCTATGGTCCCCACCCTCCCCTTTGCCCCAGAGCTGCTGCTCTGTCACCCTGAGTTCAGTCACAGTCAGTGTGGGCTGCTATAACAAAATGGCACAGCCTGGGTGGATTTGAAACAAGAGACATTTATTTCTCACCATTCTGAAGACTGGAAGTCTGAGATTGGGGTGCCAGCATGGCTGGGATCTGGTGAGGGACCTCTTCCAGGCTGCAGACTGCCAGCTTCTCATTATATCCTCACATGGTGGAAAGAGGGTGAGGAGCTCTCTGGGGTCCCTTCTGTAAGGGCACTAAACCCATTCAGAAGGGCTGCACCCTTAGGACCTGGTTACCTCCCAAAGGCCCCACCTTCTAATACCATCACCTTGGCAGTTGGGATTTCAACATATGGATTTGCGGGGTAGGGGACACAAACATTCAGTTTCTAACAGCCACATTTGGTAAAAATGGGACTCAATGGGGAGAAAGGTTTTAAGGTCAGGCCCATGTACTAGGCTTACTCTAAGTTCAAAACCTGAGCTGCACCTCTCCATCCACACTATTCGGGCTCCAGGTGCCCATCCCAGGAAGCTCAGTGGCGAGCTCTCAGTTCCAGGAGGCACAACTGGAGCTAATGAATTTGGCTGAGGCAGCGGGAGCAGTCAAAGAGCCCTGGGCTTATGTCTACGCTGCACACTGACTGCTGAGTGACTGCATAAGGCACAGCCCTCTCTAGGCCACCAGTCCCACTAAGCAGCCAAACAATCCCTAGGGTCCCTGCCAGGAGGGAAAACTGATTCCAACTGGTTGTGTCTCCCAGGAGTCTCATGAGATGTTTCACAATGGCCTTCAGGAGTTAACAGCCCCAGGAAATGACATCAGGGTGGGGAGGTAAGGAGCAGGGCCAGGAGGCGAGGAGCAGGGCAGAGAGGCTTGGAAATCAGGGGCAGGAGATATTTTGGGGCAGGCGGGTCCCCCACGTCACTGCTGGACAATTGTCCAGGGCAGTCATTGTGCTGGGAGTGGAAAATCCTTTTCTGACTCCATCTGCAAGGGCTGAAAATAGTCCAGGGCTATGGGTGGAGCCCCCAAGGACAGGGGGTGACTGGCCCTGCCTGGCCCATTGTTTCTGGCTGGGACAGGGCTGAGACTGACACCTGAGCTGGAGCCAACACAGAGGCAAGCCCAGGAATTCCCCCATTGGAGGAGGAGTGGCCAGGCAGAGCCAAGTCCTATCGAAGATGGGGAAAGTGAGGCCCAGAGAGGGGCAGTGACTCCCCGAAGTTGCACAGTGTACTAGGGCAGAGGAGGATGAGTTTAACTCGGGCTCAGTTCTCACCCCAACCCTTCACCCCTACAAGCACACCCCTCACCCTGGTCACTCCTGGCCAAGCCTCACCCTCCACCTTGCAGGAGGCAGGAGCTCCAGACATGGCACTGTGTGGCGGCAGCGGGGTCACTTCACTTCTCTGGTCACTTGATGCTGGGGAGAAACACTGCCTCCACCCTAGTCCTCAGAACCGGGGGCCTGGAGGGTCTTGGAAATGCCTGGGAGGTAGCTGTTGGTTGTGCCTTCACTGAGGTGGGGAAACTGGAACAGGGGAACAGGTCTCCAGGCCTCAGAGCGCAGTCCAAAGAAGGCAGGCAAGTGGCCTCAGGTCACACAGCAAAAACTCACCATTTGCTGCCTGCCCTTGCCCAGCTCCAGACCAGTCCTCTGCTCCTAGGTCTCTGGACTCTTAGTGAAGTGAGGGGTGGCTGCAGAGCACCATGGTGCACACCCCAGTCAGGGAGAAATGGCCACCCTGCTGCCGTGGGAGGGTAGGAGCTCTCTAGCCTGAAGTGGCAAGGTCCTGAAGCTTGCTATTAGGGGGGCCTTCTTCCTCCTCTCCATGCTACTCTCCCACAGCTGGGTACCTGGACAAGGTTCTGTAAACAGCACAGGCCCATGGTCCTGAAATCCACCCACTGCCAGGCAGGGCAGAGGTGGCCCCACACATTCCCCCAGGACAGACCTGCTTCCCTCCTCCCACATCCCACGGAGGGGGTCCCTGGAGACGTACGGCCCACTACTGCTCACTGGCCAGGCACACTGTCCTCTCCTTCAAAACATGTATCCCAATGTGGTTACGTACTAAGTGATGTCAACTCCATGAGGGCAGGGCCCAGCTGGTTTGCCTCCGTAGCCTCCTGGCCTGGTGCCAGGCATATAAATGCTGAGCACACACCGGGCACTGTGAGGAGGACTTTGTGCATAATAACGTAGGGAAGCCCCACAGTGCCCTGCGTGGAAGGTAGCATCTCACTTAGAAATGGAAAACTGAGGTACTGCAAGATTAGGTAACTTGCCCAAGAGACCCCAGCAAGGAAAGTGGGGACAATATTGACACTGAGGTGGTCTGTGTGGAGCATCTGTGTTCTCACATCCTTGCTACACCGCCTCTGTCATCTTGAATCATGCGAGGGGCCACTTAGAGAACCGTCTGCCCTGCGGGGTTGTGAGCATCGTGGGGCACTAGAAAGGGCATGATTCTGGCCATCAGGTGACCCTGGACTCACTCTGACTCACTCTGATGGCCTGGATAACCTGGAGCAAGTCCTCACTTCTCACACCCTTCTGTTTCCTCATCTGCTAAATGGGATCATAACATCTACTTCACAGGGTTTCTGTGAAGCATCCACCATATAACAGAGATGAGAGGGTCCTGCAGGGTGCGTGGGACATGGGTCAATACACGGCTTCCCTCCCCCATGTGCCTGATTCTAAACAGAGCAGCCCAAATCTGCCATGACAAGGGTGGCAGAGAGGTAGCTTTGGTGGCTTGACCTGGAGTAACCGTGTGTGGATAACATGCTGTTTAGGGCCTCTTCTGACCTCAGGGTGTGAAAGTGGGGATATCACCTGGGGTTCGCCCATCCCTCCCGGGCCCTGGAACACCTGTCACCCAGGGCAGAGACCACTGTGTGCCAGGGACCCTGCCCTGATGTCATGCAGTTCATTGAGAACAGCTGCTGCAGGCACATCAGCAGATGTTTACTCCCTGACACTCAACTCTCTACCCTCCCCTTCCTCCCATCCCTGCCCTGTCCCTGGCCTCAGCTCTATGGCTCCATCCCAGTCACCCTGGGCAGGAAGAGCTGGGCACATGCCCTTTCACAGTGGCCTTCATGAGTCAACAGCCCAGGAAGTGATGTCAGGTTAGGGAGGTGTGAAGGGGGCAGGGAGTACTGGAGGGTAATAGGAGATATTTTGAGGGCAGGCAGGTTCCCCCACGTCACTGCTGGACAATGGTCTGGGGCCAGGAGTGGAAAATTATGGTCTTACTTGGGCTGAAAATAGCATGAGGCATCAGGGCAGGAACCTCACCCACAAGGCGAGTGGCCTGGGTCCTGAGCAGCAAGGTAGGATGTGCATACCAAGGGACCATGCAGTTCAACTGGGTTCCAGAGGTGAGGCTCTGGGCCTGTCCCTGGTTCGCCCAGGGTCTCCAGTATCCACCCTGACCTGTGCCTGCCACAGGATTAGATGGTGAATAAGCCCCTCCTGTGTCCTTATGGAGTGGCTCAGGCCTGCAGGAAAGGCTGAAGGGTGGTTTGTAACAGGCAATCACTAAGAAAGCTCAAGAGGGTCTGGGTGTGGTGGTTCATACCTGTAATCCCAGCACTTTGGGAGGCTGAGGCAGGTGGATCACTTGAAGTCAGGAGTTTGAGGCCAGCCTGGCCAACATGGCGAAACCCTGTCTCTATTAAAAATACAAAAATTAGCCGGGTGTGGTGGCGCATACCTGTAATCCCAGCTACTTGGGAAGCTGAGGCAGGAGAATTGCTTGAACCCGGGAGGCAGAGAGTTGCAGTGAGCCAAGACTGCGCCACTGCACTTCCAGCCTGGGTGACAGAACAAGACTTTGTCTCAAAAAGAAAAAAAAAAAAGCTCAGAAGGACATCGGCTACATTAACAGAAGTATAGAACCTAGAATGTGAGAGGTGAATAGCTCACACTATTCTGGGCATGTCACCCAGAATGGCACAGTGCAATCATTTGGGTCATGGTCTGTGATGGGTCTCTGTCACATGAGGGCGCTGTGGAGTCAAACTCCGAATACAGCAAGCTTTGGGGATGCCCTGCCTTTCACAAGGCAGAGTGGGAAGGGTGGAGAGGTCAGAGGAGGCAGGCAGAGTGGGCCCACAGAGCGAGGGCTCTCCCAGAGGGAGAGGAGTGAGTCCCTGTCCTTGAGATCAAGAATGAGGCCTGTCAGCTTTGCCGTGTCCCCTTCCAAAGGCTAGGGCAGGGCCCTGTCCAGCTGAGCTCCACACATCAGCCCCGAGTGGTCCTGGCTAGACCCAGAACCTATCATAGGTGAAACCCATCTCCCCCATGCTAAGTCCTGACCCAGCCTGAGCAACACCCTGCCATTCTGGGATTTTCCCAGAAGGCAGAGGATGGACAGGAGGAGGAGTGAGTCTCTTTCATATTTACCCACAATGCAAAGGAAGCCTTAGGGTCAGGGCAAGGAGGGAGCCCTAACTTGGCCTCCTTGTGACCCAGCCCCAACCCTGCCTTGAGCCTGGAGCCAGCTGTCCAGCCTGCTTATGGCTCCTGCACACCCTGCCCTCTTGCCCCATGTCTTTGCCTGGGATGCATCCTGCATGTGGATTTTCTTCTGGTGAGCTGCTTTTCTCAGAAGCTACAACTCAGGAGTCTCCCACTCCAGGAACCCTTCCCTGACCCCCTGGCTCACAGCCCCATCCACTTGGCATTATCCAGTGGTGTGCTAGAGTGACTTGTACCTGCTTCCAAGAACCAATTGTTAAATTTTCAGGAATTTTACAAGGAAGCGGACATCATGTTTACAGTTTGAATTCGGCCATAAGAGTTTTTGCATCATGAAACTGGGCAGTTCTACAAAGAAGGGGTTCCCAGTTAAATCAGAGCTCCAGTTAAATGGTTTAACATTTATCAGCACATGACTGGCCATCACCTAAACTGGGAAATCTCAAGGACTGGGACTGCACTTGACTTCTCTCTGTGCTCAGCACAGAGTCAGGCACAGAAGCCAATTGGCTTTAAAGTGGGGTCTAGAGAGAGGATCTGGGGTCTTGAGAGAGGATCCCTGAAAGGAGACTACTCCTGAGACAGCTAGTGAGAAGGTAGGTGGCAGAAGGGAATGGGTTGGAGAAAGGACCCTTGTGTGGCTGGTGAAAGCTTCCCCACCATATCCTCATCCCCCAAGCACACAATAAGGCACAGCTCAGCAGGCAACACAACCTTTAGTATAAGTTACAGCCTCACACTGGCTCCTAGCCCATGGGAGCCTCCAGATGGGTCTATGACATTAGTCCCCAGATGTTCATCTCTTGGGCTGGGGGTACTCCTTAGAGCTGAGTCCACTGTGGCACCCAGTCCATTCCAGACCACTGTGCAAACTCAGCCCTCATTACTTACCAGGGTTTTCTGGCCAACCTGTGACTTGGCCGCCACCCCAGGTAGCTCAGCTACAGACTCTGGTACGTGACCTTGGTAAGCCACTTTCCTCTCTGGGCCTGTTTCTCCATTTGACTTGATTAGGCTAGACTCCAACCTAGGTACCTTGGCAGTACAGCCAGCTACTTGCGTGAGAGTCAGGCCAGGGGTGTCATTGACCTTAACTCTCGCCTTTCTTGAAACTTAATTCCCCCAATTCATACACACAAACGGTGACTAGGGGTTATGGGAACAGTTGACTCTGGACCACAGAGCAAATATCCTGAGCCCCTGTCAAATGACGGAGCATGGGGTCATGGCTTCCTTGGTCATCCAGCATGAGTCACTGATGGTCCATATCTGGGGAGACCGTACAATCTGCACAAGCCCTGGTCCCTGCAGCTTCCCAATATAAACCTGCACAGGCTGAAGCGTTCTGCTCCTACAGCCTAATGTCTTTAGTGTTCTCGCTACCAGCCGGTGTGGACTCTGTCCGCCTAGAGCCCTCACTGCTGCCCAACACATCTTCTATCCTCTGCATGTCAGTTCTGTCGGATCTGCGCAGGCCCAGCCTGCGGCGAGCGGGGGTGGCAGGGCTGGGGTCAGTGGGTGGCTTGGCATCTCGGGCAAAGCGTACAAGCCTCTGCCCAGCGAGGAAGTAGAGCACCGGGTCAAGGCAACTGTTAGCACTGGCCAGCGGCCGGGTGATCTTGTAGGCCATGTTGATGGCATTGAGGGTGTGGCAGCTGAGGTCCAGCGAGCGGAAGGAGTAGTAGAGGGTGCGGGTGACATGGAAGGGCAGGAAGCAGAGGGCGAAGACAGCCAGCACTATGGCGATGGTGCGCACCGACTTGCGCTTGGCCCTAGGCAGGCCGCCCGAGGTCCCGTAGGCCGGCTTTAGCAGCCGCCGAGCCATGAGCATGTAACAGACAAGGATGATGGCAAAGGGCACCGCGAAGAGCAGGCCCAGCATGACTGAGCTGTAGGCCACGAAGCGGCTGAAGAGATCGGGCGCCGAGGTGTCGTGGCAGGTCACGCGGCCCCCACGTGCGCTGGTGGTGACAAAGTAGAGCACAGGGGCCTGGCAGGCCAGCACCAACACCCACACGGCCCCGGCCACCCGGCGAGCGTAGCGGGCCTGGCCCCAGCGCAGGGAGCGCAGAGGGCGTAAGACGCCCAGACACCGGTGCACGCTGATGCAGGTGAGGAAGAGGATGCTGCAGTAAAGATTGGTGTAGAAGAGGAAGCGCACCAGCTTGCAGAGCACGGTGCTAAAGGGCCAGTGGTCGCCGCGGGCGTAGTAATAGACCAGCAGCGGCAAGGAGGCTGCATACAGTGCATCAGACACAGCCAGGTGGAACATGTATGTGGTGGACGCATTCCAGGTCTTGAGGCGGCACAAGAAGATGTAGAGCGCCACGGCGTTCAGACACAGCCCAAGCACACACACCACGCCGTAGGACACAGGCAGCAGCACGTACTTGAAGTCCTCGTTGAAGCGGCACCTGTAGCCCAGCTCATCCCCATCCCAGGTGCCATTGATGGTGCCATTCCAGGGGCCCAGGTCTGCCGCCATCGCCCTGCAGGGAAGGGAGGGGTGAGGCCATCAGGGTTGTGGCTGGAGCGCCCCTAGGGGACCTGACACAGCCACCTGACCAGGGCTTTCGTTGCCAGCTGACTTGGATCCGGATCTGGAACCTCCAAGGTTTGGAACCTTGAGAATGCATGAGATCCATGAATATCAGGATCACACAATTGTCAAACTTGAGAACAGGGGTAGACAAACTATAGTACAAAAGCCAGATCCAGTCTGCTTTTGTAAATTCAGCTTTATTGGAACACAACTGTACCCATCTGTTTACAAAGAGTTGAGTAGTTGTGATAAAGACCATATGGCCTGTGAAGTCTACAATATTCACTATCTGACCTTCAAAAAAAGTTAGCTCAAGCTGGGTGCAGTGGCTCATGCCTATAATCCTAGCTACTCGGGAGGCCAAGGCAGAAACCAGGTGCTTAAGCCCAGCCTAGGCAACAAAGTGAGACCCCATCTCTACAAAATTTGTGTTAAAAATTAGCCAGGCGTGCTGGCACTCACCTGTAGTCCCAGCTACTTGGCAGGCTGAGGTGGGAGGATCATTGGAGCCCAGGAGGTTGAGGCTGCAGTGAGATGTGGCCACACCACTGCACTCCAGCCTGGGTGATATAGCAAGATCCCATCTCTGGGAGAGGGGAGGGCGGGGGGCGGGGGGGAGTGGGTAGTTTTCTTACCCCTCTCTAGAACCTCAGGATCAGAGTTTTAGATGTAGGATTCTGAGCCCTAGAATCTGAGGATCTGGGGGTGCCAGAGCGGGTAATTTTGAGAATTTTGAGTTCATGGGAAGGGGCCTTTGAGGCTGGCTGACCCTGCTTCACACCCAATGCCTACTGCCTGCAGAGGCATTTCTGGCCGGTGGGCATCCAACAGCCCCCTGCAGGCATTACAGAGTTCTCTCCAGCTCGTTCTCCCACTCTGTGGGAGGCTCTGGGTGCACACCTAGTGTTCTGGTATTTGAGCAAGTATTTCCAAAGATCTCCCTCTTCAGTTATTCCTTCACTTTTTCATCTTCCTCTATTCTGGCAATTTCTATATCTATCAACAGCCCCTGAGCCTGTGAGGCTACCAGGGAATCCCCCTGAAGTAACCCCCCCTCCAAGAGTCTAGGGAAATCTGGGGTGAAGATGGGGATAGGGGGCCAACGGGTCTTCTTCTGTGTGGTAAATGCAGCTTCTTCTATGCCTATCCAGTTTCTCTCTGCATACCATCAGTATCCCCCCCCAACCTTGTCCCCACTGAGCATATAACACACCCATGGGGACTGACCATCCAACAGACAGTGAGTGCCTAGGGAGCAGCTTGTCCCCTCCCTCTCCTCCTCACCCCTACCCAGGTGACCAGTTAAGGGCTCTCTCGCAGCTGGGAAGTCGGGGACAGACATCCCGGCCTGGAAGACAAAGACGTGCCTAACATCCCAGCAGGCAGGTTGGAAATCATAGCAGGAGTCCTGGGTGGGCAAGTTTGAGAAAAACACAAAGAAGCACTTTCTAGCAGTGTGAAGGGGAAGGAGGAGCTAACATTTTTCAAACCCTACTACTAAGCCTGCTTTATAAAAGTTATTCACTTAGGGCAGGCGTGGTGGCTCACACCTGTAATCCCAGCACTTTGGGAGGCTGAGGAGGGCGGATCACTTGAAGCCAGGAGTTCAAGACCAGCCTGGCCACCATGGAGAAACCCTGTCTCTACTAAAAATATACACACACAAAATTAGCCAGGTATGGTGGCAGGCGCCTGTAGTCCCAGCTACTCGGGAGGCTGAGGTGGGTGGATCACCTGGGCCCAGGAGGCGGAGGTTGCAGTGAGCCAGAATCACCCCACTGTACTCCAGCCTGGGCGACACAGCAAGACTCTGTCTCAGAAAAAAAAAAAAGTTACTTCACTTTATCCTTACGATGTGTTCTGGGGGCCAAGTCACCATCCCCAGTTCTCCAATCACGAAGCTAAGACACAGATCATGTAAGTTATTTGGTCAAGGTCATGCCCCTGGGGATGGGTTGCAATTCCTGTCCAGGTCCAGTCCCTGGAAGTGGCTGTGGGATGGTGGTAGTGAACTCCCTGTTTATGGGAGTATGCAAGTGACTCTCTAGCAGAGGATGCAGAAGGGCTTGTGCCTGTGTCGGGGTATGTCTGGGAGGATGGAAAGGGCAGATGAGATGTGGAGTCCTCTTCATCCTGAGAATCTGGGGCCATATAATTCCCTTCATTTTAATTTTATTTATTTATTTTTAATTTTTAATTTTTAGATGGAGTCCCCCTTTTTCGCCAAGGCTGGAGTACAATGGCCTGATCTCGGCTCACTGCAACCTCTGCCTCCCAGGTTCAAGTGATTCTCCTGTCTCAGCCTCCCGAGTAGCTGGGGTTACAGGCACATGCTACCACACCTGGCTAATTTTTGTATTTTTAGTAGAGATGGGGTTTTATCATGTTGGCCAGGCTGCTCTCGAACTCCTGACCTCAAGTGATCTTCCTGCCTTGGTCTCTCAAAGTGCTGGGATTACAGGTGTGAGCCATCGTGCCCATACTAATTCCCTTCATTTTAGATCCTGGAGTCCTGAGGGACTGGGGGACTCTGCAGGGCCTGCAACATCCACTCCCATAGACCCTGAGCTGCTTTTCCAGCCCTGGCTTCCCAGAGGCAGTTCAAGGCCCAGGAGATTGAGATTAGGGGTGCTGGGGGTGTAGAGATCCTTCAATTTCCCTTCTTTTTTTCTTTCTTTTGTTTTTTTCTTTTTGAGACAGATTTTCACTCCATTGCCCAGGCTGGAATGCAGTGGCATGATCTCAGCTTCCTGCAACCTCTGTCTCCTGGGTTCAAGCAATTCTCATGTCTCAGCCTCCCAAGTAGCTGGGATTACAGGTGTGTGCCACCATGCCTAGCTAATGTTTTTGTATTTTTTAGTAGAGATGGGGTTTCACCATGTTGCCCAGGCTGGTCTCGAACTCCTGACCTCAAGTGATCCACCCACCTCAGCCTCCCAAAGTACTGGGATTACAGGTGTGGGCCACGGCGCCCGGCCAGTTTCCCTTCTTCCACCAAGACTCCCAGATCTTCTCTGTCTCCTGTTGTCAGCAAATGTGCACTCAGAAGCAAGTGGGCCTGCACCCTTGCTCCCCCTGCCATGGACACGGATGGCTCCCCAGGAGCCAGGGCAAAACCAGGGCGACGAGGCCAGGAGAAGCTTATGTGGTGCCAAGTTAAGAAGAGACAGGTAGAGGCTGGGGCTCTGGCAGGTCAAGTGGCTGAGACCCATCTTACCCAGGGTCAGGACAGTTCCTGCTGCCAGCTTAGTTCCAGGCTCTACCTCTTGTTGCTGGAACCACTGCACTGGCCTCCCTCCTCCAGCCCCAGTCCCACCCACCCACCCACCAAAATCCAGAGTGGCCTTTGTCAAATAAAGCATTCCTCTGTTTGGAATCCTCCTGCCGCTCCTACCCTCTCTCAGGAGAAAGCCCAGACCTCAAGTCTGGTACCTGAGGTTTTTATAAGTGAGCCTCTGCCAACCTCACCCGCCCCAACCCCTGTGACCTGCAGTTTCCTGGATGTGCCTAACACTCTCCCCTCCCAGCCTTAGTTGCTGCTGCTCCTTCTACCTGGAATTCATTCGTGGCCCTCATCTCCACCTGTTGAACTCACGGCTCTTTATCCCTCAGTGCAGAGAACCCAGTGATTAAGAACCTGGGCGCTGGAGCCAGACTGCTTCTGCTTTCTCAGCTGTAAAATGGGACAGTTACTAGAATCTCCACCACAGGACTGCTGTGAAGGTCGAGTCATTTGTGTAAAATGTCTGGAATAGAGCCTGGCACACAGTAGGCACATGGTGGTGTTATGAGTGCCAAGGTTCAGCTAGTGGTGGCCTTTTCTAGAAACCTTTGGCCACAGTGGAGGTGGGACTGGAGGTCCTGACTGGAGGCTGTAGAGGTGAGTGTGGTAGGCCAGGGGAGTGACACGGAGACCCAAGAAGGGGAAGGCCTTGGGCCCTGTGAGGGGAGGGGCCCTGCAAGGGGAGAGATGTTTGGGAGGGAGGCTCTGGAGACTGTTCCCTGATGGAGGAATGGTGGGGAAGAGGAATTCAGTGTCAACCATGGCAAGTGTGGGGATGGGCACAGCCTGGGTCCATCAGATCTGGAGCTTTGGAAGGCCAGCTGAGAGTCACTGACTCACAGAAGCTGCAGGACAAGCAAGGAGAGGCCCCTGTGTGAGACTGAGGAGCTATGGAGGAGCCACATTCCCTCCCAGGACAGAGCCCCACCTGGGTATCAGTAAGCCGAGGTTCGAGTCTAGCTCTGCCACAAAACATCAGGTGACATCAAGCATTTCCTTCCTTCCTTCCTTCCCAAGTATCAGACACTAGTCAAATCCCCTAGCCTTGACAACTGCAGCCCCAAAATGTCCCCGGGAGGTCCTCTGACCCACTTGGACAGGGAGGGGGCTTCCTCCATGATCTAGACACACATGCCCAGTCTCGCCTTCACTCCATTGCTCTGTTCCTGCCTCAGAGATGAGGCCTGACCTCCCTCCACAGTCAACATAAACATCTCATCACCCTGCATGAAGAGTTTCCTGCTAATCCGTAACGGTGGAATCTCTGACACTGAAATGAGGGGTGGAGACTTCCCTGTCTCCCTTGAACTAAGGGAGCTGCCCCTTCCACCTGTTTTAAGACATCCTGGCCCCCACCCTCCCAAGCCAGCTGGGGACTCCATCACCATGGCCCTGGGCCAGACTCACCCCGCCCACCCTCTCGTTCTACAGGCTGGCTCACCAACCTGTGAGTACATCTTTCCTAGCCCTGCCTTAGAGGGACAGCCAACTTCCCAGCCCCCTCCCTTAAGTCTCCCTTCTGCCTCTCCTGATCCTGATGCCCCTGGGACTGATGCCCCTGGGAGCCCCAGGCTCCACCTGACTATCCAACGCGCACCAGCCCTGTTGTGCCCCAGTCTGGCTGGCCCTGCCCCAAGGAACTCCCAGTCTGGAGGGGAGATGTGAGCCTTGTAAGGACCCTTCCAGGCTCCCCTGCCTGTGTTCATTCTGTTCTTTCTCACTGGAAAGCCTTCCCTGAACCCACCCACACTGCACTCCTTCGTACGTCCCAAAGGATCTTCTAATCTCTGAAGCTCTCCCTTCCATCACCCCTTAGGATGTTTCTCAGCCAGTTGGTAATTTGTCCTTCCATCCTGTACCCCAACACATTTCAGGTGCTTTTTGAAGGCTGGGTCCATCTGATGCTTTTCTCTGTCCCTATCATCCAGCAGGAGGCCCGACCACAGGAGGATTACAGGAACGAGAGAATGAATGAATGAATGAATCAATGAATGAATGAATCAATGAATCAAGCACAAGAGGCTATGGGGGCCTAGAGGAGGCACACACAGGCACAAGCCCTCTGCAGCTTCTGCACACTCCCATAAACAGGGAGTTCACTACCTCCCTCCTTCAGCCACTTCCACTGTGGGATGTACCTGAATAGGATTTGCAGCCCATCTCCAGTGCTGTAACCTTGATCAAATTACTTACAAATTACTTGCTTCTCTGAGGGCCTCTCAAGGACAAGAATGCTTAAAGGTTTCTTAGCTGCTGACCCTAAGTAACCAGGGGACAACCCAGCCCCTCTAGGGGTCCTGGCCCACCTGGAACCTGCTTATGTCCCTAGACTGTCTCTCCTTCAACTGCCACAGGAGCCCAGGAGACTCTGCCTTTCTCTGGACAGGTCAGGGAAGTGCCAGCGGGAGGGGATTGGACATGGGCGCACTGGAGATGGGTTGGCTGTCTGAGACCTGCCACAGGTTTTTATCTGGCTCAGAACCTGGGTCAGTCTGATTAGGATTCTCCACCCACCCTGCTTTGTAGGGGCCAGACCTGGGCTGAGCAGCTTTCACACAGCATCGTCATCCCCCATCCCCACCCCTTGGTAGATATTGCCATAGAGGTTAAGCTATTTGTACAAGGTCACACTGCCAGGCATTGGAAAAATTAGCTTGACACCCAAAGCTATCTGACTTCAAAGCCTGAATTCATCACAGCCTGGGATGAGGGAGCAGAGCAGGGCACCTGCCTTCGGATCCCCTTGATCTAAGCCAGTTCAGGGCAGACACAGGCACAACAGCACACGCACCCGCCCTCACCTCCCAGCCAGCGCACCCGCCCCCCCCGCACAAACGTACCTGACCAGCCCCCGCTCTCCAGGTCAGGATGCTCAGTGCCTGCTCGGGTTCCTCACTCATGAATGCACACGCCTGGACTGGGCTGCAGGGAACTCTGCGGGAAACAGGAAAAACAGGTCCCCAGGCCTGGGGCCACACCTAGCCTCCAGCATTTTTCTGGGCAGGCAGTGCTGTTGCCGCAAGGGGCTCCTGCAGACGGAGGGAGGTAGAGAAAGCATGGTCTCAGGGTCATGGAAACCCAGCCGGGCCAGTTCCCCCCAGGGCCACCTCCTCTGTGGTAACCTTAACCAGAAGGAAGCAGAGAGGTGGCCTGGTGTTTGTCCTGGTCTGAGTGCCCTCTGTACACCCAAACTGCAGCTCACGTGTTCCGGGAATGGGTTATTCACAGCCCCTTTCCCCAGGCTGCCTTTCATAGAGTGGTGGCCCTGCCTGGAGGAAAGTCTCCCCCATGTCCTGTACAGCTGAGCCAAGCCTCCAAGCCTCCAGTGTCCCTTCCCTCGGTCCTGGTTCTGTGCTTTGGCCCCATAGTAGGAAAAGTCAATACCCTCTTTGCCCAGGGTGCATTGTATTGTCCTTCTGCCAACACACTTTTGCCTAAGCTACGTCTTTCTAGAGACCCCCTTCCTCCCCACTCCTACCTCTAAGCATTCCTCCATAGGTGTTATAAACACACATATGCCACACCTGAACACACACTGGCACAGACACACCAAGACACACAGATACACAAAGGCATGCAGAGTCAGACTCAGGTGTACATGCAGTGGACACATACAGATGCACACACACACACACACACACACACAGAGTCTAGACCATCAGGGCCTAAAACTGCATTTAGAAATCTCCTGTGTCGGCCGGGCGCGGTGGCTCAAGCCACCCAGCACTTTGGGAGGCCGAGA